CTTCTTGTTTATTTTTCTGCTCTGGAGTGTACATGCTTCGCCTATGAGAAAAAAAGCAGCGCATGAACCGAACGCGAATCGAACCGAGACAGTCGAACCGAAAGGTTTTCATAAACCATTCCATCCCTAGTCTTTATACAGATAGTTGTGACAAACTAAACTATGCAATATCTAATCGGTTAGACAAGACACAGAGTTTCAGGTGATTAAAACATTGGAAATTTAGTCATTTCATAACTAAAACATATATGACTCATTAAATTTCTTACTCAGTGAAAGTTCTCTGTTTAGAAACCTGTTGCAAACCTTCGCTGTTGAGCTTCCTTTGCAGCTTCCAGGTTTAAATTTCCATTTTTATGAATATGAGCATAAGGGATACTGCTTAACAGCATACTGCTGTCACGCCTGTAAACATGTCTGGTGCATCTTCCAAGCTAAAGAACTAACTGAACAGTCAAATTACTTTACAGTCCGATTTCTCTGTCATTTAACAACTTTATAAAATTAAAATCAGAGTCACATACCAACAACAGATAGCTCAGCAGTGGCTGAATCATGGTCGAGGGTGTTATTTACGACACATGTGTAGGACCCAGCATCACTCTCTGATATATCAGTGATAGACAGGCTCTCAAACTCCACAATGAATCTGCAAGATAAAAAAAAGTGCAACTTCAAACATTTTACTAGTTGAGAACTAAACGCAGGTTTTTCAATGATGTATCCAAGCTTTAAAAAAAGGTCTAACCGCTCATCATCTAGCAGCTCTTCACCGTCTTTAAGCCAAGTGACGGTGGTAACGAGGTCCTTGTCATGTTTCACTATGCACTCAAACAGCACAGAGCCGCCTCTTTGGACCACCTTGTCAACCGGTTGCTTGAGGATTCGGGTAGGTTCTGATTGGACAGTGACATAAGGTTATAAATAACAATAATTAGTTCTGATTATAAAGGTTAACAAAACTTTAGTCAATAAAAAAGTTTAAAAAAGGGACACCAAAACAGATGTTAGTGCTCCTATTGCTAAAAATGTATAAGAAGGACCTATTTGACAGATTCAACCACCTGATTCCTGGATCTTTCCTTCTCTTTCAAAGTTACATTGAGCCTTTGGTTGCCTCTCTGATTAAAGGTATAATGGAGGATTTTCAAAATTTTTCAAAAGACCCGCCCACAACCCAGTACGTAAGAAAGGAACGTCTATTAAATACGTGCACGAGCCCATTTCTCCTTGTGCACGCTCTGTTTAAATGTTGCTGTTTGCAGCGCTCATACAATCTTAATTTCCAAAAGAAGATTTGCAATTTTTCCACTATGTAAGTGAAAAAGGGGACGATACGTAAACATATCACCAGAATGATTGACCATTAGGAGGACTATTTATTTACATGATCCACCTGGGAATAGAACATCCTCCACTATACCTTTAAGATTCCTTAATTAGTTATTAGGTTAAGTGTGAAGTTTTTGAGCCATATTTCATCTTCTTTAAAATGATTCTGTTCCCCTTAGTTTAGTTCAGTGGTCCCCAGAGTGGGGACACACCTCTCAAATTTAGAGGAGGGGTAGAAATGAATGTATTGATAGTAATGTTGAATTATTTTACAAAGTATAATAAACAGCTAGACTTAACAATACTGTAATACTTTAACTCTGGTAGTTTAGTGACTTAATTCACTGCAGATCTTTGTTCAACTGTTTAAATTGTTGCATGGCTGGGAGGGCAGGGTAATGAGAGGCATAAAAACGTTCCTGTAAACCAAAGAGGAGCCCAGTAATTAAAGTTGAAAAAAAACTGGAACATTTTACTAGGTCACAATAAATCTAATCTATAAGACAAACAGGTCCAAATCATTTCCAGTATTATCTAATCAAATCAATCCAGAAGAATCTGAGACTGTATTCTTAGGAAAGTCATTTTAAAGGTCGTTACAGAAATAAACAAGCTCACCTTTAATATCCAGGTAAACATGGTTCTCAGAAATACCAAGATAGTTATTGGCAACGCAGGTGTATTTGCCTTTGTGCTGAGCCTGGGCTACTTGAATCTCCAAAGTACCGTTGTCATGCAGGATGTAATCATCTCCATCCAGGATGCCAGATTTACGGTCTTTAAACCTAATATAAAGAAAGTTGGCTTCTCTGATTTCTGTTTAAGGAATTATTTTTAAAAGTTTTCTGCTATATGTTGTTTAACTCACCAATCAATTTTAGGAATGGGTGACCCAAACGAGGAGCATTCCAGAAAGGCTGGGCGATTTTCGATAACCTGGTAGACTTTGTTTGCTGGAGTCAGCACCCTTGGTGGCTCAGCTGCAGTGAGTCAACAGAAATTATTTACAAATTTGTTTACTCTTTAAACAGCTTTAGAATCCATCATGGAAGTTAAGTCATAAACGTACAAAGGACGTTTACAAAAGCGTTGGACAGGAGGTAGCCATATGGGTTGGAGATGTTGCACTGGTACACAGCGCTGGACTCGACCCTGACTTGAGTGAAGATGATTGAGTCGTCTTCCACCTTTCTGCTGATATCTTTAGGTGAATCTGAGAGGGAATAGGGTAATGTTAAAGAGCTTTGGATATGTGAAGGGTAAGAGGGAGACATCCCTAGAATAATCAGATGACTGATCCCTGGGTACCGAACGATATTCTGCTTCTGTCAAAAAGTATCTATACATTTCTTAAAGTTTAAGGGAAAAAAATATTCAATTTTTCTTCCTTTTTTTTTGCATCTTGTTCTTGTGAATGAAAAGTTTTAAAAAAAAGAACAAATTCCTCTGCGACGACCCTTCTACTTTCAGTATAACAACCGTCAGATTAAAATGCATCTTACTGCAACATTCTCTTCTTCTAACTTCCTTCGTAGCACTTTGTTTGTTTTTGGTAAAGTTTGGGATTTAACTGGATTTCTGTAATCACTTTGTGTTGCAAATCATTATAGAGAAAATTTGAATGCTTTAACTGGTTGGAGAAAATTATTAACAGTTTTTACTTTTACCATGTTTTTTTTTTTTATAAATTATAGCAGATCTGATGTATGCTGTGATAAATATTTTATGTTAGGATTGATAAATTCTCAATTGTGGAACAAATTGCCCTTACTCTCGATAAGGTCACCATTTATTGACCACAAGATGGAGGGTTTAGGTATGCCATTAGCTCTGCAGGTCAGCACTCCATTCTCTCCTGGAGCCAGAACAAGATTCTTTGGAGGCCCACTGATCCAGTAAGGAGTCGCTGCAAAAGGACAGAGAAGCCAATTAATTACTGAACAGACCGTCTTTGTGGCATCTGTGCATAAATCAATTATGAAAAGAATGAGGGCGAGGGGAGAAAGGGAAGGCAGGAATAAACAAAGATGGCGTTGACACACCTTTGACCACGACACTGATGATGTGGTGCGCAGCGCCGTGCTGGTTCTTGGCTGAGCAGCGGTAATCTCCAGCATCTGATTCAGACACGTTCACAATCTGCAGGGTCTTGTTGAAGTGCAGGAAGGATGTGCGGCTACCGGGGAGGTCTCCGCTCACTTTGGTCCAGGATACCTCAGGGGTGGGCCTGGATTTAAGAGTTGTGATTAAGTAGGCGGGCGTTCAAGGCAATGAAACATTCAATAGAGGCAAACTCTCTGACTTACAGTCCTTCGGCAATGCACTCCATCTCCAGTACGTGTCCCTTCAGCACCATCTTGGAGCTCGAGTGGCCAGATGGGATGAGAAAGGTTGGCTTCCTCTCATCCACTGGGGCCTCTGCAGTTACAAACACACACACGGCACAATGAGTCAAAAATGAAAGAAAATAAAAGCTCTCTTTTCTCTTTTGCATCAGTCCAGAATAAAGAAGAACTAAGCTGAGCCATTCCTTTCATGTTCGTTACCCTCTACCACTCAACAAAGATGTTATCAAAATGTCTGCCTACACTTTACTGTATGTGCTGTGAGGGCTGTTGACAAAATATATATATATCTATGAGCATTAATTTCTAAAATAATGTTAAAAGTGTACACAAAAAAAAATGTAATTCTGATCCTTCGCTTGATGAGAATCATTAAAACAAAAACCTAATTAAAATAACACCAGGATGAATATTTAAGATGAGACTGTTATTTTTCCTATTTTAATTAAACCAAAGATGTTTTTTTATATAATCAACAATTTTCATATATCTATAACTAAGAGAAATAAGGTGGAAATAAGAGAAATAGAATGAAAACAAGGCTGTGCTAAATCAAGGAGGAGAAAAGGATGACATTTGTAAATAAAGGACTTCCACTGCAGGTTAAGCTGAGGGAAGACATTTTTTGGCATATTTACATATTAGTGTTTTGGGATCATATCTGTTGTGCCAACATAATGATATTTTACAATTTGGATTCACTCTTCATGTTTGTTAATGTGTTGCACTTTTAAAGCTCTGGTCTAATTAATATGACAAATATCATCATATAGCCAAAACACAAAAAAGCTTTAAAGAACGAAACAAATAAATAAATAATCTGTTTCTTTTGTTTTTTTGGGCTCATACTTAATTGCAAAAAAGTTGCTTATTGATTTTGTTCTTTTCTTTACGGCTGTCAAAACAATAATAAAAAAAAAAAATATGGATGAGAAAGCATCTTCTGGAACCAATGAGGGAGACCACTTTTTTTGGTTTTATAGCTAATGATACGTTTTAAATGAAATATATATAATGGAAGTGAGGCCAGATACATTTAACGCAAATGTTTCCCAATTACCCTCCACATAGTTTAAATGTGTCATTTATATTAGGAGATCAGCTACCTATAAACAGCATTAGCCCTAAGTGACTTTTTATAGCCAGAAAATGTTTGCGTCGATTGAATTTAGTATCTTTAGAATAATGTTTTACTAAAGCAGTCATTTATCATGTTACTGAGTCTCAGGTAGACTTGGCTTCCAGAACGCTTTTGAATCCCTATGTAGGGTGTGCCTCAACTAGGTCTACAAGCTACTCCCTTTCCTCCACTTTCTCTCCTTAGACAGAAATTACCATATAAATATGAACACATTAAAATGTAGGACACTGCATGTAGTGCAATAAATATTGTGTTATTGATTGACTATACTAGCTATCCTAACATCCTGGCATGACATGTATTTTCAGATGTTACATACTAGGTTTATGGAGGACCAGCTCTACCATATTTAAAAATAAAATATGGAAATAAATAAATGCTCAATAAATAAATAAGCAAAGAGCAGAAGTTGACCCTCTAAGACACAGCCCTTCCTCTTTTGCATAATGGGGCAGAAATGCATACAGAAATGTGAAAATGACAGGCAGAAATAAATAGCATTGAAGAAATAAATAGGGTAAAAAAAATACAAAGGAAGAATAAAACAGACAAAAATATTATAATATAAACATAAATAAATACTTAAAAAAATAAGTAATTAATAAATAAAGTTGAAGATTTTAACGGACAATAAATAAATAAGGTAATTATTACAAAGGCGAATAAACAAAGAAGCTAAATAAAAGAGATATATACATTTATGTCTAACTATGTAATTTAATTTCTATCTATATTTATTTCTTTATTGTATTTTTGATGGCAATTAATTGTATGCTTATTTATTTATTGAGCATTTATTTATTTCTGTATTTATTTTTAAATATGGTAGAGCTGGTCCTCCTTAATGGTTCAGTCTAAAAGAAAATAAATGTTCAGTTTAAATTTAAGCAAATTAAATGAAAATCCATTGATAAAAGTGTGTCAGCTAGATAAAGAAGGAGTGAGTCTTGGGGTTAAGGGTGGGGGGGTTAGTTAGGAGGCTACAGTGTTTAGCTCTACATAGGAATAACCACAAGGGGGTGCCAGTTCACGCCCTGGAAGAAACCAGAGAGCTTTGGGCAAAGAAGCCAAGAGGATGAAGGAGTTGAAGGGTTGGTTGTTAGTGGGTGAAAGCTAGAGTCTGGAGCTTTGGGTCGGGAAGAGTTAAACACTGGAGGGTGCCAAAAACTCACCATTTAACACCATTTCAGTGAAATTATAATAATCTGCCATTGTGTCATTGATTTCATCCACTGTAACACAGCAAAATAAAATAAAAAAAAATCACACATGCAACAGTTTGAAATTATGACATCAACAAAAAAAAAGAAAACATAATGGAGGAGAAAAACAAAAACCAACAGGATAAAACAAACAGCTTTAGATGAAGTCACAATATGCACTGAGGAGCCTCATGGTGTCAGCTGCAAAGGTAAACATGACAACAGCTGTATTTTTTGGTGGAAGAGAGTATGTTAGGAATTCTTCACACAGAAGTGACAGCAAAAAGCTGCTTAGAGAATTTCTCACAGATCAACCAGAACTCAGACAATATGTCTTTTGAGTCAGATGACGACCACTGGCATCTGAAAGATGAGGACCGTGTTAAGAAGCAGGCTTTCCCTCCCACAGTGCCATCAAAGCACATACTGTCCTGCTGAAAGTCAACCACTTCATCGCCACATGGATTAGATGAAAACACTGCAGTCCCCTTTTGTTGTTACAGTCATACAAACTTACATCAAATCTTTAAATATAAGCACTGAAAACTAGGCGAGACTTACTGGTGAGCACTTTGACAGTGATAGGCTGTTTCTGCTGGATGGTTTGTGTGTGTGTGAAGCGAGCATAGCAGATGTAGTCACTTCTAGAATCCTCTCTGCGAACGTTGGAGAAGTACAGGTCGCCGTTCAGGGATTGAGACACCCTCTTGCTCTGAGGAAGCTTCTGGAAATCTAAGAAAAGTACAACTATATAAATACATTTCATTTAAATTTTTGAAAATATTGTCCAAAGTAGTTCCACAGGGCTGCATTCAAGGACCCCTACTTTCTTTTTCTATAAGTAAGTCTTATAATAAATAAATATGAGATTTTGGATTTATTGCAGATAAAACAATCAAGCATAGGTCAACTAATCATTAAACTAAAAAAAAATAATATATACAGTCTGCTTACGTTCATATTAGCACAACTTAGGTTCTTGGAACATGCACAAAAAAAGGTTAATGTTACATAAATTGTTGCATAAAATAGCTACATAAATTTCCTAAATTTAACATGGTTCATGGGGTGAAAACCGAAATGATAAATATTTTATTAAGTTTTTAAAACAATATAGTTTAGAAGTTGGTGAAAATGCCCCACCTACTGGCCAAGAACAGTTAAACTTGTAGCTACAACTTGTTTTTAAGGGAACAATAAAGAGGATATTGACTTAAAATTATTATGAACCATAATTCTCGTTTGTTGAGATGGAAGGAACATTCCCTATAAACATTTGCTCGTTAAATGTTTCTCTCGTCAAACTTTGAATTATGGTCAAGAATCGCTTCAGTGAAATTTTATAGCTTTTTTCCAAATAGAAATATTTGTTATTTTTTTTATGAATTAAAATCAGTTTGTAGTACATTTGTATTCAGTTATGCTGAGATACTGCTTTGATAAACTGTTTCCAGTAAACAAATCATTCCAAATTTTTAAGCTCATAAATATGTAAAGGAGGCTATGTGTTTAAGTGTATAGTTCTGATTACAGTATTTATTTTAATTAAATGTCCAATGGGGCAGCTTTGTTAATAAATGTGCTTATGTGTCTTAATACCATAACTTGCTTTCTGACAATATTTTATCAAACTTTGTTCCTAGAGTCACAACAAAATGACCATATGTTTTATGAATTTGATTCAAAAATATTTTATTAATCCCAAATGGACTTTAAATGTTGTTGTAACTTATAAGGATTTCTTCAAAAACTTATTGTAGGTACTGATGGTTCCTCCGACTGGATTTCCACAATCTGATGAAGAAAACGCACAGGCTTTTCTACAATATTCTCCATTTTATGGAGAACATCATATATTTTTTGCAACACAATCTCCAGAAGTTAAAGAGGAGTTTCCAGAACATAGCTAGTGTTCTTTATTAGGTTGCTGTTTCTTTAAGTTAGGTGTTCTGATGCTGCAACTGAAAATGGGTTCAATAATGCAGCAGCTGTTCAGTGTTTCCAAGGCATTGTAATAGTGGATGGATATCAAAAAGCAAAAACCAAACAATGCTTTAGGAAAGTTATAATGATAATTCTTGCAACTGGGTTTTTAAATTAATCTACTTTTTTGTTGTGTTGAACTTTATTAATCTCACATTGGAGAAATTTACCTCTGCATTTAACCCATCCCTTTGGGCAGCAGTGGGCTGCCATCTTGTGGCGCCCGTGGCAGGCTGTGGGAGTGGGGCTCAAAACCTGAACCTCAGGATTCCAAGCCCTATGCTCTAACCACTAGGCCGCCACTCCCTGTTATAAACCTATTACGGTTAAACTAAGGAAATTCCAAAAACAAGCAAATGGCTGATGATAGCTTACTATTGTCCATCCAGAATATGATGGGAGGTGGAAGTCCTGCAGGGGGTTGGCATGGCAGCACCAAGGAAACACCCTCCTTAACCACAATTGGCTTGATTTTGTCCTTTGACCACAAGGGGGATTCTGGAATCATTGAAAAATGAAATGAACACCACAGGCTTTTATTGACACAATGTTGGCATAAATGTTGGCTGATAGTGAAGGGCTGCAAACATGATGACAGGGGCAATGGGGTGAGATGAGAGGATGATGCCTAACTGAAAAAAATCTTATGAGGAAAATAAAACAGGACAGTAAGATATATTCTAACATGCAGTTTCTCTACATGCAAGCTTTACCTTCTGTCAACCCTCTTAGGAAGGGCAATGCAACTTAATTTACAGAAAAAGAGAAAAGGAAGAAGGAAATGGTACAAAATGTTCACTGTGTTTTATATTTGGAGAGAATGACAGACAAAAAGTAGAAAAAACGAAGCTGCCGGCCGCACTTACTTGACTGTCTGACGACGATTTTGTTGGATACAGCAGCTCCATATTTGTTCCTCGCCGTGCACTGAAACACACCCTCAAAATTTTCAGGTCGTGCTCTTGTGATGTCCACCTCTAGAGTCCCTGAATTAGGCCTCATTGTCACACTAGGGTCCTCGTTGACATCAAAGTGAGTCCCATCTTTCGTCCAAGAGAAACTGGAGGAGGAAATCCAGTTTAATCAAAAATAACAAGTACAAAGTTCCAATCTTTGACTTTATTTCATATTTATAAATGAAACGTTACACTGGAAAAAATCTAAATCTAGATAGTTCATTTTTTCTTATAATAAGTGACTTTTACTTGGATTGAGGAGGTAAAAGAGACATTTTGCCAATGGAACAAGACAATTTACACTTAAAATAAGAAAACACAATTGCATTGTCTTATTCCAAGTGCATATGATCTAAATATCTTATTTTAAGAGTAAAAATATTCATTCTATTGGCACACTATCTCATTTACCTACTCAATTTAAGGGTAAATACACGAAATTTAGGTAATTTTCACTCATTTGTAGATTGTTTTTCCAGTGTAGAAATTTGGTCCATAAAAAAATATAGTCTCTTTGCACTTAATTTAGCAGGGAAGGCTAGCGCCCCCTGGCTGAGCTTTATTATTCTACTTACAATGTTTAGTTGATTTAAAAAAAGAAGAAATTTTGTATAGACACATTAAAATAACTTATACCACAGGTTAGCCACTACCTCCATATGCAGTCAAATTAATCAAATCAGAATAGCATTACAAATAAATATCTATTCAGTAGCTTAATTCAACAGCTGAAACATATATGGATTTATTGCGCAATAACACATTTTAAATAATAATACATAATAACACTTTTAAACCTTAATTTATGATTATTTTGGTTATTTCTGATAACAGCTAATGAAAAGACCTTTAGGGTAAAAACATGGCATCAGAATAATAAAAAAAAATCTAAAAACATAGAAATGTGAGCTTAATAAAAGTATGTCAACATCCACCTAAAGGGTTTTTTTGTTTAGTTTTTTCCTAAAAATCACTTTTAATCCTGCAGACAGATCAGAACTTTATATTTTAATTGTAAATGTATTTCATATTGTTGAAGAAATAAATATATATTATCCAATGTGATTTAAACATTTCCTAACTAAACTTAAAACTAGTCCAGATTCAAGTTGCACGACAATATCTGTAAATAAGGTCAGGAAAAAAAAATCAATCTCCTAATTGTTTCCTGTTTTTGGGTTTGGTTTGCCAGCCCTAAATTACCACTGGCAGCTCGTCAGGCCCACCTCTTTGAAAAGCTTCTGGAGGCAATACTGCTTTTCTAATCAGCTGCAGACCAAACTATTAATTACAGCAAATAAAGGATTATTTCCCTCTCATGTAACCAAGGTTGATGCTAATTCTATCCTCAGTATAAGCTTGTTTCTTTGTTTTAAATCTATGCAAAATACCAACAAAGATTTAAAAAAAACCTAAGGGGGAAAATAAGAATCAATAAGGCTGTTGTGGCAAGCAGCAACCAGCTTTTGGCAAGGGCGGAACGCCTACAAATAAATATAAATATCTTTGTTTACATTTAGGACAAAGTTTAGTTTTAAACGAAAATGAGATGGAATAAAAAGAAACCTGATCTACCTTTAAACTGCTTTTGGCTTCTACTTACCTAGGATGCGGCTTCCCCTTTGCTTCACAATAAATAACAATATTCTCTCGAGGATCCACAATGTGGTCCTTTGGGGACTGTTGAGTTATTGTCGGAGGCTGTGGCACTACAAAGAGAAAAGAAAGAGAGGGAATGTTTAACCATGACCTTTATGCCTTCATTTAAGTCTTTTTTCCTTCTCTTATATTGGTCACACAAGCAGCCATCATCGAACACAGTGGGAGTGACCATAATATCTAAAACCATGCCGGGCTTTGCTGACACACTCATAAAAAGCTCTTAATGTGTGTAACAGTAAAAAGCATGCACAGCACAGAGGTGCATTTCCCCTTAGTGCAATTATCTGATACTTACTGAATTCCTGTCAGTGCTGGAGAGATAACTAATGGACTATGACAAAACAAATAACTGAAAATTCATTCTGTGTGCAATATTACTCTGAATACAATATACCACCTCTGCAGAAACACGCAAAACAAGAGGAAGCAAGCAAAACAATGAAAGCATGCAAAATTACACTCCAAATCACACTCAGTTCTTTCTAACATAAACAAAATATAAATAACAAGCAGCTTAAGTAAAAAAAAAAGAAAAACAAATCCTAAACACGTGGTCAAAAAACAAGAAGAAAAACCACAAATGCAACTCTATTGATTAAAAAAAACATTCTTTTGTGACTTACATCCTGGCAGAACTTTAGTGTTTTCCCCCAATGAATCAGGAAACAAGAAAACAATGTGACAGTAGAGAGATGAAGGCATTAGTGATTAAAGAAAAAAATGGTCCAATGTTTGGATAAGGCAGTCTCTGATTGTCAACATTTCCAGCCAGATGTGATGAAGACCTCACAAGTACTGGGAATAAACTTAATTTCACTCTGATGAATTCTAATAAAATCCAGCGAAGCCCTCTGTCTTATTTTGCTGAGATTTAATGTGAAAGATGAAACAATGAAACAATGATTCATTTTCAACTGGATAGACATATGAATACATGGTTTAGCATATTCTTTACAAATAAAGATCTTAAAAACACGGACTGATTTGTTTAAAGTAGCACTACAAATGCTTAACAGCTGTAACTGCACTAGGGCTGAAACAATTAATCGGAATAACTGTGATTAATTATATATATATTTATACAATCCTTAACTAATTTAATAATTGTTGATTGTTTACTAGAGATTAGTGACCTTTAGCTGACAGAGGAACCCACCTTGAGCAGCAATTATACCAAAGTTGTAAAAAATATATATGTTAACATTTTGCATTTAAAATAAAAATCTTTTTCTTCTGTCATATGCTCTATCCAGAACTCCTCAAGTGGAAAACTTTTAATTTAACCTGGTCTAATTTCGCAAAAAGTCTTCTTTAAAGAAGTTTTTGCTGACCGATTAATGGAAAAAATAATCAAAAAATTAATCAATTTGCCAAATAATCGTTAGTCTAAACTGCACTACTGTGTGGCTTTGCAAACCATAATATCAGCATCACTGAATACAAATGCACAACATACAGATTTTATTTTAAAAAACACAAAAAAACATATTGGGACTATTTCTTCAATATTATAATCTTAAAATAATCCAAATTAAATGCATTCAGGTCTCTGGTAGTACAATAGAGTATAATATATATGTTTATTAATATTCTAATAAAGAAAATAATGTCCCAATATTACAAGAATAAAGACATAATATTATATCGATGGCATTAAAATTGTAATATAATGAAAATGAAATAATAATATTAAGTCTACGATAATAAACCTTTTTAACAATATTAAAGTTTCCAGTCTCTCAGCTGGCCTGGCAGCCTCTGCATAGACTGCTGCCTCCATGACCAGGATAAAGTGGAAGACGTCGAGTACAATTAAGTTGTACCAAAATAAACTCATAACATTACAAAAAAAGTCATAACACTATGAGACTAGAGTTGTTGTTAAAACTCTAGTCTCATAAGTCTTATAAGTTGCAATATAATAAGAAAAAAGCCATATTACTAGAATAAAGAAGCATCATACTTTAACGTAAACTCATAGGTTAAGACAATCTCCTAAGGCTGCATTTTTGGTGACTGGTAGATAAATGTATCAAAGCCTTCATCTTATTAAAACAATTTCAAGTCTCATAATTTTAGAATAAAAAATAAAATATTACAACTTTTTTCTCATAATTAGCAATAAAAGTATGAGCATGGCCCTAATAATCCATTGTACTGGATGTTATATTGCAAAATGAGAACAAAATAGTAAATTAGTTAAATCCTCCTACAATGTGTCATAAACTTCATTTCTGCGACAAAAAAAAAGAAAATCCTGTCTCTTAATTTTCTAAATGTGAAAGCCCCGTTACGAAACAAAAAAGGTTGAAGTTCAGTATGATTTCAAGATTCAGTTTAGTATAAAACCCCATAAAAACTAGCTTCTATAAAATAGAGAATCTTAAAAACAAAACTAATGCGGTTACTAATGTGTGGTGTGATCTGTTTCCTTACGGTCTAAAGGGACTTCCAGAGCTGAGGTGAAATGTCCCAAGATCAACACTAGCAGCGCTGCAACCAAACTCCTCATCTCCAACCCCATCATCGTGCGTCACTGTGGTCTGCCCCTGCCCCTCTCACACAGTCTTAGGGCACGTCCACACCTGCAAAGAGAAAGAAAGCAAGAAGGTGAATCACAGACATCACATGACAGCTAAGAATTTCACAGCACATCCAGTTGCAGAAGCTATTAATCATAATACTGAGTCTGTTCTATCCTGCATCCACAGGAGGGTCAAAGGTGAAAGAAGTGAGGAAGTTACATAAACCGGATCTGTTGTCAGGGATCAATGTCTGTCGGAGTGCACGGCGTTTTGCCTGGAGCTATCTTTTTGATGTAAACTAGTTCCGTAGGGATGGAGTGTGGGAGCCACACGGGTTCATCTCACCGCACTCATCACACTGTGCTGTTAGTGTGCTTTGCTGCAGTGTCGATTCTAAAACACCAGAGGATGGAATGGCAAAGGTTCAGGACAGGCGGGGACATAGGATTCATTCCAGCTCATTTCACTCTCAGTTTTATCAATGTGAGTGTCTGGCAGATTAAGCTTGAGGCAAATTGATCTGCAGTAAGGTCAGATTTCTGACACTCGACCATCAGTCTTTCACAAGACAGCAGCTGTAGCAGGAAATGTCAGGTACAACTGTTTGATAGCTGTTTAATGGTGCGGAAACAACAGGTTCATCCCGGATGACCTGTCTGGATAAAACATTTAAAAAAAACGGTGAAACATTAATTAATCATTATTTACACCAATTTCTTCCATTATGATGTTTGTGCAGCTCAATAGCTAGACTGTAACTAAGGATAGAAAAACAAAAATGTTATTTTCTTTCATGCTTTCATTGTTGTCAGGCAGCTCAGTTTTAGGATGTCAGGTCAGTTTTCAAAAGATAATATTGTTCTATTGGAAAAGGCTGAAACAAAAGAATAATAGCAAATCATTAAAAGAAGTCAGGGGAATGCAAACCCGACTGGGACAAGCTTTGATATAAATAAGTACTGAAGCACTCTGCTTTAGTATCTGTTTTTACTATTCAGTGTTGCAAAGAACTCATTATTATTCTATATGAATAAAAAATGCAGTTGAGGTGAGGAGTCAAAAGACTGAAGATATTGGATAAAAGGAGTCATTTCCTATCTTTTAATGACAGTAATAAGACCTGTTTTTTAATCTTTCCCTCCTGTGTGTTTCAGCCAAAGAGGCTGCTGGTCTAATATTAAAATAGCTCAGTTGCATTAGAGCTCAGGAAGAATTATTTTCTAATCAGAAAAATCAGAAAAGCAGTACAGAGAAATCGGCTGGTGATGCAAATTGGACATTTTCAACCAAGGAGCCCTCAGAAATAATTGGAACTAGAATATGGATCCTTTTCTTATTAGGTAAGAACCATATGAAGCATCTGCTATGTTTGAATCTATAACTGCTTTCTTCTATTTAGACTCAAGTTCTGATAGTTTAATGTCAGTGAGGTATTTAACAGTAAGGGAGCTGATAAGTCAGAAGCTAAGTGGAACAAACCTGTAAAACACTTTTAATCCCAAAACCGTTAAGCCCTCTGGTAGATGTCATTTCAAAGGGATCATTTTACCAACGATTTGAATTCTGTTCAAGAACGTTCAGACTTGAATCTGATACAGATACAGAATCTGAATAGGAATTTATTTCAGACAATTTTAGACAGGCAATTTGACAAACAACAATAAATGAATTAACCAAATACACACAAAAGAGACTATTTAACATTTTAACATCAACCAAACACCAAAAACCAAACTAAATTCACCTCAACACATATAGAAACAAAACCCTGAACCAGATAAACCTTCAGTATATACAGCCAGAAATATCGATTAATTGAAATTGTCTGAAAATGGGTATGAAGAAGTAAAACTTATTATGTATATGTATATGTCTCCCTCTAATTGCGCTTAAATTAACTTAAAGTAGAGTAACGTTCCTGTTAATTTTTTTTTTCTCCAAGCTAAAGATTAGTGAAATGGTAAAAAGGTTTAGAGCTCAAAACTAAAAATAAGGTGTCCAAATAAAAATTATAAAACACAAAAAGCTTATCATTGATTGTGAAAGAGTGATTGCTTAAAAGACATTTATTGATTACCAAAATTTTAAAATAAAGATCATTTCTTTTAACACTGACTGCTGGTCTTATTTTCCATTAGAGACCGTTTTCTAGTTAAATAAAAATTATTTCAAACTAAAATTTACTCAAGATAGAAATGCTTGCAGTTTATTCAAACTATGAATGAGAGCAGGTTCAGAAATGCTTTCTATTTATCTTTTGAACTACCAACCTCTGTGTGTCACAGAACTTTTTTGTTATTAACAAACATTAAAAAATTAGATTTGGGATGGAGATCCACTCCCTCTTAGGAATGCCATTAATTAAACCTATTTAAGAAACAGCAGCCATACTGTAGAATATAAATTCCTTAACCAATCAGTCTTTGCTTTCAGAATATATGTATGATTCATCCCTGCTTCTCACAGGAAGAATTCATTTCAAATGCTTTTCTTACATTGCATTTCCTGAAGGGTAATCACCCAGTCAAGGATCGACAAAAACCGGAGACAGGATAATAATCAGGAACGGTGTAGCTCTAATTTTATTCAGTGTTATTTCAGGGAAATCTCAGCATTTTGTGTGATTAAGGTTTCTGTTCTCAGATGATGAGGGAAGAAAGAATAAATAAAGGTCTTAAACATTCATTTTTTAAATCCTTTTTCAGAACCGCAGCGAGAAGTGTTCTTAATCTTTCCTTCCTGCATGTTGCACCCAAGCATCTGTTATTAAAATGTCACCGCTGCAATCAGAGCTCAGGGAGGCTCATTTTCTCAGCGATCACAAAGCAAATTAGTAAATTTAGTTTTTAATGATGGTTACAACATGAAATAATCTAACAGAGGCAGAGGTGTAGATGCGTGGAGCTGTTTTGCCCTGGGGTTGACAGGATCCGATTTTTAGACGAGATAGCAGAACGTGTGTCTGGTACCAGAGGCTATATAGTGAGTCAGTCAGACCTTGATTCGGGCCCGATCATCCCTGGGGAGGGAATGTGCTCGTTAACGCTGCCCCAGGGTCATAATACAGTTATGCCCTCAAAGCTGGTGTCTGGTAACTTGTTACCTCGGGCTTTAACTACATCTCTCCTGGGAAGCGCTGTATTATTTGCCCAGCTCAGCCAATCACAGTGCTCTGTTCATCAAAAGGTAGGTCTGGCTTGGGATTTGACACACAAAGATAAGGAGAGGCATTTCACCCAGCTCCTTTGAAGCAGAGAGAGTTGTAGAACTTGAATACACTCTGTTTAATATTTATTTTCAATATGCAGTGAGAACTCTGAGATCAGAGTTGATTTACAAATAATACCTCTATCTAAAGGTTTAAAGTCTGAACTGGATAGAAACCATCAATTGTCCAAACAGCAGAAAAAGAAGTAAAAATAAATCATTTTCATGACCGGAATCAGATTTTCAGTCTGATTTGGTTCCAATTGGAGACTGGTCCAGTAACTTATAAAACTACATTTACATGCAGTGAATGCATCCTACATAATACAGAAACTATAGCTGAGCAAAAAAAAGCAAAAATTCAACTATTGGTGCAATATAAGATGACTAAAGGTAAAAGCTAAGAAAGACATAGCAGGAAGTACTTTAAAGGAAAAATAAATTTTCTTTCAAGAGATGTAAATAGTTTCTTCATGTTGAGAGAGAGAGTGAATGTCTTTCCTCATATAGTATGAACCTGCACAGAATACAGCACAGGCACTCTGTTTTGTTCTTCTTTACTTTCAGTCTGTAATTGAAAATTATTAATTGAGGAATATGGACAAACTTTGCAGAGCCCAAAGGTTTGAATACAGATATGGGCTCTTGAAGGAACACAAACTGCACTATCCATCCATTTTCCATCACACTTATCCCAAGTGGGGTCGCGTGGGATGCTGGTTCACTATCTCTAGTTGTCTACGGGCGACAGGCAGGGTACACCATGGACAGGTTGCCAGTTCATCGCAGGGCAACACAGAGACAAACAGGACAAACAACAATTCACGCACACACTCACACCTAGGGAGAATTTAGAGAAGCCAATTAACCTATAAGTCATTTTTTTGGACTTTGGGAGGAAGCCGGAGTACCAAGAGAGAACCCATGCATGCTCAAGGAGAACATGCAGACCCAATGCAGAAAGACCCCAGGCCGGAAATTAAATCGGAAACCCTTTTGCTGCAAGGCAGCAGTGCAACCCGCTCTTCCACTGGGCAGCCCGGACTGCACCATATTAGAAAAAATACAACAACACACAATTAGGACAGTGGTTGCTTGGTGTAGTGATGACAATATGAGCTTCAGTTAATGCATGCATTGGTTTCCTGTGTTTTCCATCATCATGATGTCATCACAACAATCATCAAGTATTTTAAGATTTCATCCTACTGACTAAATATATTCATATTTGCGTTCCGCTGAAATACAAAAAAGCCGACAAAATACCGCCTCAAAGCAGACCTTTAAAACTAGGATATCACACATATTGATTATGTGATGGCAAATGTGGATCGATCGGGACACTCTCTTTTTCAGAGAAGACAGACACCAGAATTGGTGACAAAAATCATGCACCACAAATCAGCCACAGTAACTTCTAAGTTGAATCCTAAAACACCTCAAGCTTATCTGGAATGGAGCCAGCACTCCATCCTGGATTCATTTCCCGATTTAATGAGGTGTAGCAGCTCAGCTTCAGCTGGTCAGCATGTTTGAGTCTTCATGTACACTGTCTGTACTTGCAGGAGTGTGTGACTGTCCATGTACAGTAGGTGTGTGCGTGATATAATTATCCTTGTGAGCTGCAGTGATATGGAGCAGACCATTCACATCCCTGTCACAGCGGGATGGCAGTAGAATTCTAGTGGGGCTCTTAAGACCAACAGAGCAGCGAATAGAGAAAGAGCCTGACTTTACCCTGTTAAAATGAAATAATAAAGGACTCAACACGGACTGCGGCAAATTAGAGAGACAAAAGCTATTTTTTTTATAGGCATAATGTTCTTAAAGGAGAAAGAATATATATCGGCCTT